GTTATTTGCACAAAATAACTTCCATATATAGATTCATTGTCGATAGCTAGCTGTGAGCCATGTGGCAATACATGTTTGACGATGAGCACTTCAAGTGCCTGTGTAAGCGCACTGTACCGTGCAAATTACACGAACGTATCCATTAGGCCGTGCGCCTTGAACCATGAAAAAACTAATATTTATGAGTTAAACAAGTCAGTTACAGTCTGATACATGTACATTTTATGCATTAATTCCGGGCATGCGAATAGAAGTTCATGCCTACCCCCGCATTCTATTATAAAAGCCATATATAGAAGCAGACCCAATTGTGGACTCTACGCCCATTAGTGTTTAGGTGATACCCTTTAGTAGTTAGGCGCTAATAGTACCGGTTCTTTGTGCTCTTTAGTGTGGTGTCGAATCGCGCCACTTGCAGCGCCGTGTGTATCGCGCGTTGACGCTTTTCCTACCAGTATATTTAGTACATGTATGTTTTAACGGAACACTCAAAATAATTTGCACATTGTACTGAAACGAACATCAACATCCAACTATCTAATGGCTAACGTCTCGAAGGACGAACTCGCCACGGCGAACGCATTAAAACGTCAGGGTACTGAAGTACAAGCTTTTGATGCATCGGATAACCTTCTTACGGTAGGTGTTGTTCATGCGCATAATATGCAAGCAAAATATATACTTACTAATTACTTTGCAGGGTTTCCAAATATGGACTGACGTGGCACCCAGCATTAAAGAGGACCCTTCCTTGCTTTTCGTAAAATGTCTAGTACAACCAGGGTCAACACGCCAAAAGCTTCTATGTACGCAGATTGACCCACCTCCAGCTGCTGGCGAGGTTAGTTGCAAAAGAATCATTTATTATACATACGATACAGGAAAACAATACATTCGAAGTACCAATTGCAAATGCATGGAATACGAATGCACAAATCGATCCTATGACATATGGTGACATTGGTATGCTACCGCAGACCAACATACCATGTGTACTGGATTACCTACGTCATCGTTTTATGAACAACCAAATCTACAGTACCGCCGATCCACTACTAGTAGCTGTCAACCCATTCAAAAACTTGGGCAATGCTACCGATGAAGTTATCCGCCATTACAAGGAAGCTTCAGACTCACTCAAATTGGACCCACACGTATTCAGAACAGCCAGGCACGCATTGGAAAATGTATATGATTACAAGTATTCACAGACCATTATTGTGTCTGGTGAATCTGGTGCTGGTAAGACTGAAGCTACCAAACAGATGATGAGATACTTTGCATACAACAGCAATGGACAAAGTAACGGACAGATACAAACTGCAATCATGGCCGCAAACCCTGTACTCGAAGCTTTCGGTAATGCTAAAACTATTCGTAACAACAACTCATCACGATTCGGACGTTTTATGCAACTTGATGTATCTGAAGAAGGTGGGATACGGTACGGTTCAGTTGTTGCATTCTTGCTGGAAAAATCACGTATCATCACACAGGACCCGGAAGAAAGATCATACCACATATTCTACCAGCTGCTTAAAGGCGCAACACCCGAAATGAAGACAAAATACAAACTTAAAGGATTGACGGATTATAAATTCTTGAACCCAAAATGCCTAGATGTACCATCTATTGATGATGTTGCTGATTTCAAGGAAGTTATTGCGTCTTTCAAGAGCATGGGTTTGGACGATTCTCACATGGAAACCATTTTCTCTATATTATCTGGTGTATTATTATTGGGTAATGTTGAAATTGGTGTCACCTCAGTGGACGGTATTGATGACGCTGCTATGATTGTTAACAAAAACGTATTCAAAGATGCATGTGATATGTTGTTCCTAGACGCAAATCAACTTGAAACTGAACTTACTATCAAAGTAACTAGTGCAGGTGCCAACCAGATCAAGGGGCCACGTAAGGTTGGAGATGCTGAAGTATTGAAAACTAGTGTTTGCAAAGCTGTATACGAACGATTGTTCTTATGGCTTATACGTAACCTGAACCGTTCTATTGAGCCAGAATCCGGTTTCAAGAACTTTATTGGTATGCTTGATATTTTCGGTTTCGAAGTCTTTAAAAACAACTCACTGGAACAACTCTTTATCAACATCACTAATGAAATGCTTCAAACCAACTTCGTGGAGATTGTGTTCAAGCGTGAAGCTGCCTTGTACACCAGCGAAGGTATCTCAATCCCTGAGCTTAACTACACCAGCAATACCGCAATCATTGAAATATTATGCTCAAAGGGTAAATCAATCCTGTCGTTGCTAGAGGACCAATGTCTGGCTCCAGGTGGTACTGATGAGAACCTCGTGAGCTCGTGCAACAACAAGTTGAAGGACAGCAGCAAATACTCGCCGGCTAAAGTGGGATCCAAATTGAACTTTACGGTTGTACACACTATTGGTACCATCCAATACAACGCACAGTCGTTCGTGTTCAAGAACAAGGATGTATTGACCGCTGAATTGGTGGAATGTGTCAACGCATCACCCAATGAGATGATAAGGAGCTTGTTTGAAAATGTTGTAGTTACACGTGGCAAATTGGCTAAAGGTCAATTGATTGGTTCTCAATTCATGTCACAATTGGAAGCATTGATGAAATTGATCAACAGCACAGACTCACACTTTATTCGTTGTGTAAAACCCAACGAGACCAAGAAACCATTGGAGTTCAATGCCGTCAAGATCCTTGTACAACTCCACGCGCTGAGTATCATTGAAGCTCTCCAGCTTCGTAAACTTGGTTATTCATACCGTCGTCCCTATGAGTCGTTCTTGGAGCAGTACAAGTACGTGGATCTGTCAATCACCAACGACAAATCCTTGGACCCCAAGACTGCTTCCCAGCGTCTTCTGGAGTCTGTTGGTGTGTCGAAAGACCAATACGCTCTTGGTAAGACAATGATGTTCCTTACGCAGAAGATGGCTAAGGAGCTTACTGTTATTCAGCGTCAGCGTCTTAGCATTTGGGAACCGATTACTGCTATTCTTGACGCATGGATCTCTCGTCAATCTGCTAAGCAGAAGCTCTTATCTGATGTTGAAGATATTGTACGCCTCCAGGCTCATTTGAGACGCCATATTGTGCACAGCAGAGTTACCCCTAGCCCCGATGCGATGCTCAGGATGCAAATAACGTCATGACTTCGCGATTAAAAAAAAATTAAATTACTATCAAATAAATTTTAACATGAATGTTGCATCAACCACTGTAATTACCGGTTTCCGATTATTCTACGAAGAGGTTGTTGGTGGCGTTCGTTCCGAGCTACGTGAACGTCTTGGTACCGAGGTAATGTCATCATACTGTCATATAACAATATACAGACCGTACCACTAGCTGATGTGCAGCGTGAAGTCGCACGGTTGTGGAAGATATGCCCACATCAAGAGGTTAGTGCTCATATCTTTATAGAGATAGCATGCTGTAAGCTCAGCAGCGTCTTCTTACTACCTAAAACCAATTATACATGTACATTATCACGCTACATACGGGCTAGTCGTAGCACTATACTAATGTCTTTATTATGGTATAACTACGTTGCAGGAATATCGCCAAAAAGCCGCTTTGTTAAGGCAAACGCAACCTGCTAACGAACCAAAGGGCGCTAATGCTACGGATGAGCAGGTAATACCGGTACACAGGCTCCGCCGTATCCTGGAGTTGGATGAGGAAGCACCGAGGGTAAGCAGGGACGCTTTGCGATTACTGGGTAGAGCTACTGTAAGTGGTACTAATAACAATCATATATGTTCCCAGACAATATTTTTATCACAATTTGCAAGTAACTTGCATAAACATATCCTAGACACCGATGCGAACTACCCGGCTAAACCGGAACATATATGTAAGTTTAATGTACCATTGGCACATTTACATACAACACATTATAAATATTACATACTGCCATTTTGTATACTATTTCATAACGTACTGACTCATAACAGGGAATATCGTCAAGAGTCCGCTCTATCCCAAGTACAAGTTCTTAGAGTGCTCAGAGAAACAACTAGCCTGCTCACAAGACAAAAAAATAGCTTCAGCATTATCGCAAGGCAATTCTAACGTGGCTTATCGGGATTCTGAAGATGTTATTGGCGGCGATGTGCCGGCTCCAGAAGGTGTGTCAACAGTAACACATGTGGAAAAAACCCCAAGACCAGCTGATACCGTACAACACACCAAGAAACGATCAGTTTCCATTCTTAGCTATTTTGGTGTAAACAAAAGAGACTAATTTCATGACGATCATCCCCCATGACGCCGCTGGCCGACACTGCCCCATCTAGGTGTCGCCTAGGAGATTACGGCTAAACGACCGCTTAACATTAGTGTTGTTACATAAAAAGACCATATATACTGTGGTCATATTAGTATAGGACTATCGTGCATATACCACAATGGGCCGTATGTACGGAAAGGGCAAGGGTATCTCCTCGTCGAGTATCCCTTATCGCCGCAGGCCAGCATCATGGGTTAAGACTAAACCCCTGGACCTTGAACAACAAATCGTAAAACTTGCAAAAAAAGGAATGACACCCTCACAAATTGGTGTTGTTCTTCGTGATTCTAACGCTGTACCCCTAGTCAAGGCTATCACGAACAACAAGATACTCAGGATCCTCAGAGGACATGGTGAGTACTATGATCTATATATCAATTGCTTATAGGGTGGGCACCTGACATCCCAGAGGACCTCTACTACCTAGTGAAGAAAGCTGTTGTTATGAGGAAGCACATGGAACACAACCTCAATGATAAAGACTCCAAGTTCAGATTGATTCTATTGGAATCAAGAATACACAGACTTGCGAGATACTTCAAGAAAAAGAGAAGACTACCAGCTAACTGGAAGTACAAGTCTGAGACTGCTAGTGCCCTTTTGGGTTAAGCCTAACTTAACTATCAATATTTCGATATAATTGAAAATATATTCGCATACATACAACTTATTAACGGCTATATGTGTTACAGCGATACTGAACATATCAACGCTTCTTGAAGATCTGGATTACGTCTTCATCATGGAGTTGATGCTTCAAACCAACGTGCTGAGGGTTGTGTTTCACACTAGTCCCCCATACTAAAGCAAACTTAAACTCATCCAACATCTTCTTGTGGATCATCTGCACAGCAGCAGACACTGTACCGTCACCACGTTGCGGTGTCATTATGATGGGCTCCTCGAAGTTAGGAACCTCACCCTTGTTCTTTGTGTAGATACGCATAAGCTCAAGCTCGTCCCACATACGCTCCTTTAATAACTCCAAATTCCACTCCTTAGAACTGCTAACCACAACAGTGTTAGGACGACGTGCTATCTCCTCAATCTCAGACAATGATAACATATCGATCTTGTTATACACATAAATACACTTGCAATATTTACAATTGCCACGTACCACGTCAATAAGGTCATCGACAGTCGCGTCCTCACGGATAATTATATCAGCGTGGAAAATCTTGTACTCATGTAACACTGAGTGAACTACACGCTCACTAAGGTGGTTTATTGGTACAAGATGGTTTATGTTCAGACCACCAGACTTCTTCTGCTTAAATGATATGTTTGGAGGCTTACGGTTAATGCGGATACCAGCGTTGTGAAGCTCACGCTCAAGTTTACACTTTTGAGAATCATCCTTAGTAGCATCCAATATCATCAACACAAGATCGCAACTGTTAGCAACAGCGATCACCTGCCTACCACGACCACGACCCTCAGAAGCACCGTCAAGGATACCTGGCAGATCTAGTAGCTGGATTTTTGCAGCCTTGTACATCAAAATACCTGGGACACACGTAAGAGTAGTAAACTCATAATCAGCAGTAGCAGAGTTCATATTGGTCAAAGCGTTAGAAAGAGTAGACTTGCCCACAGATGGAAAACCAATGAGACAGATACGTGCATCACCACATTTAGACACCTCAAAAGCTTCACCCTTACCACCACCGATAGGACGGGCTTCGACTAATTGGGTCCTATACTTCGCAAGCTTGGCCTTCAATTGACCTAAATGGTACTCTGTAGCCTTGTTCTTTTGGGTCCTGGCCATTTCGGCCTCAATTTCACGAATCTTATCAATGACACCCATTGTGACACAATGTTATCACCTTATGCTCAATAACGTCCCTTTGGATCGCAGATACAAGACCCTGTAAAGAATCGAATCTACCTTCTGTTCTCAAAAATCCTTCAATCACAAGATTTAAACGCTGACCTAAAAAGCCCTTCGTAAAGGAATGGTATATATAAGGTTCAACAGAATACAATCCGTGGTCAAAATGAGGGTTAAAACCAACAGACAATATCGTTCTCAAAGGTGTATGCTCATCAACTTCCGAATTGCCCACAAGATAACACGTACCGAAGTATACACCTGGAACTAAATGTGGGATGAAATCACAATCAAGATTCGCTGTAGGTATACCTAAGCAGGATGCACCCCTACCAAATCCTTTTATTACAATACCGTTCAAAAGGATCGGCTCCTTAAATTTCAAGTAGGATGCCAATAAGGTATTACCCAAAGTGAAGTTGGGTTCACGGAGTAAATCAACCTTGTCACTACAGCTGCTTGACGATATATCAGCGGTTTGAGATTTGGAGATCCCAACTTTGGAAACCAAAACAATATCACACGAAACCTTCTCAAGCTCCTTTTGCAAATATTGCACAACGCTACTCTCTTGTGGATATAGGATATAATTTGTGGTATCCTTGTACTTGGTGTAATTACGCACGTCCTCGGGGCAGGCAACTTCGACTTGCAAATGTTCAAAACCTCTCGACGTTATGCCTGTACAATATGGAACATGATAAGTTGTGGTACTTACCAGCTGCGTCTATGAGCCTACGAATAGCCTCTGGGTACTGTGAAATTAGTAGTAGTACCAATTTAGACTTTGGATAATCACGAGTTGAAGATTTCAATAGGACGTCCACACTATTTTCTGTCTGTCCTATAAAGTCTAACTCGTAGTTCCTTTGGTAGCTTGCAGTCACTATCTCCTCCACAAAACGCTTGAACTGTTTAACGTTGACAATGTTATTTTCACGTGTGGTCTCGTAAGTATTTCGCTCTGAATCTGACGAAACAAAGACAACCGAGGCACCGTTAAAACATCGGACAAGAGATTCTAGTCTCACGCAGTTGATACTGTCGGATTTTTCTAGCAGTCTCTCCGCAATCGACAAGGCCTCTTCAACAACGGATTTCGGACAGCAGCTGTAGGTACGTATCTGTCGGGCCAATTGCCACAATCTATTACGGTAGGTTTGATTTTCAAACTCTACAGTCTCTAATACTTCACAAACACGCTCTTTTACATCCAAACTAGTTGCTCCAGAGTGATTTGAGACTTTCGTTGAGGTATCCAATTGGTCACTAGATGTTACTTTCTGGTTCAATACTGAACCTCCGAGTCCTTCCTTTGAGTTCAAAGTAGATGTGTCTTCTTGTAGCGTTTCCAGGACGTCATTCCATGGCGAACGCAGGGTGTCGCCCTGGATATTCGCAACAGCTCCTAAGAGGTTGACAATAGCTGTCTTGGTGTCGACGACACAGATATCCGAATCAACTAACACAATTGTTTGTTGGCACTCAACATCATAAAGACATTTACTCATGGCAATGATACCACGATGTTAGTCTCCTCCAGTGTCCTCGGGAGTACCTTGCGTGTGCAGAATTCTTCAAGCTAGAGCAGACGCCTGGGCACAACATACACAACAATGCCAACAAATTTAGCAATGTGTATAATATAGTGGTATTCGGAGACGAGAATCTTCAGTAGTACAATCTACATATAGGCTCGGAAGGCACCATAGAACCCTTTATTCTCCAGATCACTATACAAATTATAATTACATATCATAACATTGTGCTTTTAATTACATTTTAATCAACGATGGCAACCGTTGGAGTCGACCTAGGCGGTTTCACCAGCAAGGTTTGTGTATCCTGGGCTGGAAGTGATACTATCGAGTTACACGTTAACCGCGTTTCAAACCGTGAAACTCCTACAATTGTAGCTTACGATAAACGGATACGGTATGTATTTACCTGAAGAAGGTCAATATTGTGCAGTATATATGGAGAAGAAGCCGACCTTCGCAGCAGCAGCTTGTACTCTTCATCGATATGTGTAAGTCTTCTGCGCCGTTTAACCCATTAATACTCCAATAGTTGCTTCCATATATCGTCGGGCTATCATCTGAAGACCTTTTGAACTTTATACAATCAAGACGTTACCTATTCTCTCTTGCCTTAGATCAATCATCCACAGAGTCTGCATTCCAAGTTAAATTCAACGATCAGCAATGTTTGGTGGAACCCAGGGATATCCTAGCGTTTTTCATTAACAGGCTACTAGAGACAGTTCGGAAACATCTAGGATCGACTGACCTAAGTGGTAATAACGGTATCATGCTCTCTGTACCTGTACCGGTATACTTCACTGAAGCTCAATGTCTGGGTATCCGTAACTCACTGGCACCATGGGGTTAGTATTCACATAAGCAATATACCATTAAACTTCGTTTAGGTTTTGGAGGAATCAAGTTGTTCAAACAGACTGAGTGCCTGCTAAGGCGCTGGTGTGATTCACATCTTCCCGATGTTTTTGACGAATTCACACGTCAAACGGGCCAACCGTCAATGCATGTTGCATTGTTAGACGTAGGATTCTGCCACTGCACGTTTTTTGTGGCAGAAATAACGAAAAATGAATCCTTCGAACATCGCATTGTAGCAGAAGAGTCCAATGACCATGTCGGCACATTTCAAATGATCGAGAAGCTAGCAGATAACGTCTGCAGGACAATAGAAAGTAAAAAAGGTGAAACTACTGCCGTACCAAGTCGCCAAGCTTTTAACATATACAAAGGTTGTGCTAAGGCGCTCAAGGAACTTAGTGTGGTATCAGAGGTTAAAATTGATTGTGAGCGTGTACTTTCAGATGGCGATGATTTTTCCATGATGGTTGCAAGGAGCCAGTTTGAAGAGCTGTGTGCTCCACTTAAGGAAACATTAGAAGGTATGATGCACCGAGTACTTGAGCCGGTACCGTCAGGTAGTATGCTTGCGATAGAGGTGATTGGTGGTGGATCACGTGTACCTTTTGTTAAGGCGTTGGCAACCGAGGTAGCGACATCGCATGGTGCTCCACAGGTAGTACGTATGTCTCTAGATTCTACGTCAGCAGTTGCTAGTGGTGCCGTATCACTGGCCAAAGCGGACGCACCCACCTTATTGGACGGTGTATCTGTAGATATCGGCGAATCGGAAGTTTCAGCAGCAGTTGCACGGGAGGAATGTTTCTCCACTATTGAGAATGAGGAATTCCGTAAACGTGCCGTGCTCAATGAAATAGACCAGTATGTCATCAAGACACGTAACGATGCGCGTGGTGATTTTAGTCAACATATCCAGTTACAAGATGTCGACCTTTTCCTTTCAAAGTTGGAAGAATTCGCTTTGGATGCAGCCTCGGATAAGGCCGTGAGTGCATCTGCCTGCGAGCTGCAGCTGAACGAGTGCCGAGAGAACATCAAGGCAAAATTCCCCGGATATATATCGGCTTTAGAGGAGGCTGTTAAAGCCCGTGAATCGGAAATGGCACGTGCGGCTGTGACAGATGATATATCATCTATATCCGGTGTCAACATGGATGTAACCCTCCCCAAGGCTACTTGCATCAAACGTGCTGCTAAGAATAAGGATGAAGGGAACGCTCTGGTTGCCGGTGGAAACATCGAGATGGCTGCACAACATTATGTCAAGGCATTGCAATATTGTTCAAAGGTTAACGATGCAAACGATGAGGAACGTACTCAACTAGACACTCTGAAATTGGCAAGTAACCTCAACTTGGCCATGGTGAGTTTACATACCCATAGTTGTTTATTAAATACCAGTGTTATATCAAAATGGATACGCAACAAAGTTACAAGAAGGCTGTTAGCTGCTGTACTCAAGCTCTAGAAATAAGGTAGGTTATACACTGCTCTCGCCCGGATACCCACCGACGTGTGGCGATCATGTCATGTGAACAGTAGCTATCCGTTTATATACCATTTTTTGCATTTCCATTCACCATTTTTCGTTTGTATATAACATATCGCAGTGCGGATAGCACAAAGGCGTTGTACCGCCGAGCGTTTGCGTATGACAAGCTCAACCAATTGGATGACGCGCTTTCTGATGCAAGGCTTGGTGTCTCTAAATTCCCCGATAACGCAGATTTGAAACAGGTAAGGATATGGTATCGACTTTTTTCGTCAATGTGTGCGCAGTTGTTAGCGTGTTTGGAGAAAAAAGCCAAAATACAAGAACAGCGGATGAAAAAGGTTTATGCACGCATGTTCTAAAATATGGACGGCTATAGACAATCGGTATTATACAAGGTGATTATAACTATAATCTCTATTTTTTAATGTGTTGCAGCGTGATGCTCTATACCTGCTGAAGGTTAAGCGTTTGACTCGTAGGCTGAAGCTAGCATTGTTTTTCGCACACACAGCATCGAGGACACGTTTTCCCAGGGATGCAGCCACGTCTAATCTTGAAGATAGATACGATGCGCAAGAATGGGTACCGGAGTCACCTTCTGATCTAGAGGTAGTAGTACGTACGACGCATTATTGCCAGAACCAGCTAGAACAGCTGAAAGGTGAAACTGACCTACGACGTAAAGCTGCCGGACTCAAAGAGACACTGACATTGTTGGACAGAGTAGGCTGATATCGTTATATAATAACAATTATGAACTTTTCATAATGCACAAAAAAACAACCATTTTAATGACAATGTTTGATACAATCCACACAAACGTGACCCTATCCTAGATACTAGCCATCACAGTTCATTTACGACGCTTACGTACTATCAGCTTGCTACGACTTGGCGCACCCTTAGAAGCGATCTTACGATCGACCTTCTTCTTAAACTCTTCGGGGCTCAAACGTTTCTTAGTCTTACGACGTTTCGTAGATTTTGGTTCCGGACGCGTATTGTCGAATTTACGCTCAGTGGTAAGCCTTTTCAATGTACGCTTCTGCTTGTGCGTCATTGGTAGGTTGAGCTTTGCAGCCTCAAATGTAGCAGCATGTTTTGGGAACATGCGGATCAGCTCGTCATAGTTGGGTTTCTTGCTAACATTCACATCATCAGAAGAGTCACACTCATCGTCATCGGGAAACTTAGTAACCTTTATAGACGACTGATGCTCCTCTTCCTCACCGACCTTTTGTATACGCTTATGGCTCGTCTTCATCCATTTCTTAAGCAAACCTTGGTTCTCAACTGTCACCCTTGCCTTCTGACCACTCTCGTTCTTTATTACACGCTTAGTCATAGAATCGACGGTCACTTGAACAAACTTCTTCTTCTTAGGATCCCAATGCTGTTTACGTTGAAACCTAGATTTCTGCATTAGCTCTTCAGAATCAGGAGTTATGTTTAGAGTTATGTTAGGCAGCCTCAGCTCGTCCTGAGACACAGATGTTGATGCGGAAGACGGTACCAAAAACTCGCTCTTTGATACCGAACCATATGCATCACACTTCGCAACGCCCATTATGTCTGATACATCAGTACCAGATATTTTCATACTAGAATCCAATTTCTGGAACTGCTTAGCATAATGTTTCGCACGCTCCATAGTTGCGATAGAACTTGCCGGTAGTGATGTCAATATCGTGGTTTTAGCAGATGAAGGACGGAAGCCATGAAGGTATTCAAGGATGTTCTCCTTAGTATGACTAGTATCCTGACTTTCTTTAGCTGTTGGCTCTGCATTGGCCGTAGGAGCCGAAGCCGAACCCGCAGATGCATTCATATAAGCAGGATGTACAGAGTTACTCACAGTATTGATACCTCCTAAAGCCTCTAACAGTCTTCGTGCACGATCTACAGCGTTATTGGACGGGCTGGGTCTTGTTTTGTAGTAAAGATTGTATGAAGCATCCATGGACATTTTCAAACTCTCCACATCACTATCGTTCTGTATAATCGATTTCACCTTCTCGACATTCACCGTTATATCTCCTACAGTACCTATGCAACAAGTTTCGTTACCGAAAGGCAGCTCCTTAGATATTATCAAATTACGTCCTATCGCAGTCAGAATTTCAAACGCAAAAGCAAAATCGTACATTGTCACTAATGATATCGCGAGACCCTGACGACCAGCACGTGCTGTCCTTCCTACACGGTGTATGAACAATTTAGAAGAATGCGGAAAGTCAAAATTTATCACACAGTCAACCAACGGTAGGTCTAACCCACGAGCCGCAAGGTCAGTCACTACCAACACCTTAGTCTTACATGATCTGAAAAGTGACATTTGTTGTGAACGTGCTGTCATATCCATGGCACCGTACACTGCAGATATAGAGAGGCCATTAGCAGTTAATAACGCACGAAAAAACTCCACATGGTGCTTTGTAGACACAAACACTATAGTTCGCTCTTTGTCTTCAGCACACTTTAGCAATTTTAATAAAACAGCTATCTTCTCCTCAGAACGACTATAGATAAACCTTAATTCAAGCTGCTCGTTGATCTGCATGTCCTTATCAACTTGTGCGATGACCGGATTACGTAACCCGAAATTTACAAATTCAGT